CCCTTGCTAACTACTCTTTTTTTTTTTTTGGGTCGCCAAACTCTATTTTGAATACCACCATAACATTTTAGATACTAGTAATCGATCGGAATTCTGAAAATGAAGTATAACAACACATGCAATGCAAGCTCTCCAATGTTTTTTTTTCTGAATGTCGATCCATTTTCATATCTAATGCAAGTGTTTTGAAGAACAATGTTACAAACTTTTATATTACATGTAAGAGGACGATGTTTCGCGCCATATAGTGATACACATGTAATATGTTTGTAGATTGTACATCATGTGCAATTTAGATGTGAGTTCAGATTTTTCATTATATAAATGGTTTAACATGGATGATTTGGTATAATTTCGGTTTCTTCTGTTTGTATTCAAATTTTAATCAATATATATTTTAAGTTTCAAATAAATTTTCGTGTTATTAATTAAGTTTTTTTTTTGTTTTTATCAACCGTTAAGTTCAAATTTAGTTTGGTTACTAGCAAATGAAATTGAAGGCCCAATACAAGGAAATGCTGAGCAGAAAGCCTAATGAAAACTATTGTAAATGGCTAAATGCATTGCTACTGCACTACTGGATCTTGTTACGTATCTCTCTCGTCACTAAACTACAAAATCATGTAATCTCGTCTCTCGCCAATAATGCTCAAACTTTTGTATATGTTGGTTGGATACTTGGTTCAATATAATCACAGAAGGTTGCAAAAAAAAAAAAAAAAAAGAAATGTTACTTCTTAAATTATTATACTGTATAGCCGTCTAGGGATATTATATATGTACGTATATATGTAATTTTCTACTGTATACAGCTCTCTAATTAATTGGAAGAGGTCCTAGCTAATTTCCCTAATTACTATACGACCCCATACCAAAAAATACACACAAATCCACCCCCAACCAATTAACCATCTAGAGTTGATTTAAATCAACTTATCGGTAGCCTCCGATCTAATGCGTTCGATTCTCCGGCGTAATCTTCTCCGGTGATCATGAATTTTCCACAGCCCATGTCCTAATATGACTGCTGAGTATATACCATGCGTCATCATCGGTGCTAAAATATTATCGGTCTGAAAATTTGAAAAAGATAACGAGAAATTAAACATTATCAACCTATAAGTTACCAACTTTAGTTTTTCAACAAATGATTAACCAGAAATTTTGGGGTTATATATACAGTAAAGTTCTCTATCAAAGTGTTAGTGTTGATTTGTTGTATCTAGCAAGTGGAATCCCAATAATTGCATACCAAACCGAACAAAAACAAAAACCAAACCGAGATTTTACCTGAACCCATTCAATACCGAGATAGAGGGCTAAGAGTCCTTCGAGTAGGGGAGAGTAAATCTTCTTCATCTGTCTCTTCTCGTACCAAGCTGCACAAAGCAATGACAAAGAAGATTTCATAAGCAGCAGATGATCAAACCGGGGTTTTTTTGTACCAACCGATTAATATTTCCCTGTTCTCCAAGCTATTCTATAGTTTACCTTTCACATTCTTTCCCAAAACAATATGGTCAAAACAAGAAGACAACGAGTACCTGACAAAAGCTTCTTAAAATCATCTCGGCGTGACCTTAAAACCGGGGCAACAATGTATGTCGGGTCTGGAAACGAAAACGAGAATCAGAATGGAACTAAGAAACTAGACAATTAACAGATCAAGTACATGATCATATCCTAACCCTTTGGAGAAGCAGCAAGAAAGTAGAGAGAGCCTGTGAGAGTGGCAGTGATTACAGCTGCAAAGGCTTGAGCAAATGGGACAAATGGAGGAAACACTCCGGTCTAAAGGTAACACAACAAACATACGATATATGAAGTCCATGAGAATATATATATGGGAGAATCTAAACATAGAAAAAACTGTGAACTTACCAGAGATGCCATGCCTCTAGAATCTGTCATCAACTGTGTTCCTTTCAAGAATATATCAGACAGAGCACCCTATGAGAATTACCAGAGTTCAATAAGTAATAACTCAATCAAAGTGGTCAATGATTCTATACTTGGCCAAGTTAAATGAAACCAAACCTGTACAGCAACACGGTAAAAGAGCTCTTCTCCTATTGAACTAGCCGCGACAATGAGTATAAACTGGAGAAAGTAACTAAAACCTCAAAACCAAGATTCAATAGTGATAGGTTTGAAAAACAAAGAAAAAGCTAAGATGATCACCTGCCATGGGGACATTCCGAAGAAAAAGCTTCTGAGCTCCTCATCTTCCACATCTCTAATGGCCCGAGCGTGCGGTGATAGCTTCACAACTTCATCCTGAAATCAGACAAAGAGAATTCATTTAAAACCAAGTCCAACAACATAACAAGAATCAAAAGATGATTATGAGGTTATATTGGTTACATCGAGTATGAAGAGAAGAGCCATGATTGGTGGTGTTGCATAGCCAAGTCCGGCGAGAAGTGCGTCAAGAGAAGGATCAAATCCACCAGATGAATCAATTCCAGTCACCGAACCATATGAATCTTCCAGCTACAGCCATTGCTCCATATATTCCTAATGATCCAATCACACATTTTAAATTTTGATCCAACACAAAGATTACTAATGACTCCGCTGGATATTAAGAGTAAACACTAACTGAAAAATGTAAATCTACTCACCGATTCCGTAAGTAAGTCTAACGACGGCGCCAATTTTGTCCCAGATCGGAAAATCAACGGTGGTGGAGTTAGCGAATCCACGATCAAGTGTTGTCACCTCCATGGCAGTACCAGCAAATCCTCCTCCGCCGTCTGTCTTCTCGATCCCTTCGCTGCTCCGTTCAGCGGAAGCTATAACGCTTCGTGACCTTTCTCCACCATTGAATCTCATTCTGAAGCTCCGTCTTCTCTCCGGGAACTCACAGATACTAGTTGAGGAAGAAGAAGAGTAAAAGCCTGTCCGCGAAAACGACGCGGAGCTAGCATACGAGAGTAGCGGAAGCTCCATTTAAGGTTGCTCGAGGTAATCGGAAAACTAAAGTACTTAGTCGTGATCTCTGACCGGTGAATTCTCAGTGTGCTTCGTCTTCTTCATTTGCTCTGCTATGTGCGTGTGCTTTGTTAATTTTGGGTTCTTTGAATTTATACAAAATCTAAAATTGGAGAGATAAGGTCTTTTCTGGTCCGTTGGATTTTTATCGTACGGTTAGGAGGATATCTGGTTTAGATGAAGCATATCTCTGCAACCAATCATTATTTGACACGTGGAGATAACATTGGCGGGATCAGAAGAATCCGTTCCCAACGGGGGTAACTGCCATCGATAAACTTTTTATTATTTTAATACCTTCAGATAATAAAATGACTATAATCTTAATAAATAAAAAAAGGTGAATCCAGGGAAAAAAATCACAATAAAAAGGCTTAGTGAAAAAAATCTTTACTAGAAAGGTTTAAAAAATTTTAAAAAGACTTTAAAACCAATAAAATTTCCTTATTTACAATTCATGCCATTTTCAATTAAAAATCCCAAAAAAAAATGCAGAAATTATATAACAAGAATTATAATAATCTCTTACTAATAAAAGGAATTCAGTGAGGCTTCTCACACCATCCACATCAGCAAACTAAAGAGTTCCTAAAATCATGCCACATCAGCAACCCAAAAAACTGTGGCCACGTAGCTCTCTTTACAAGTTCTTTCTTTTGTTTTGTCTTTTGAAATTTACTTGCCAATTAGATAAGTTTGAACGACTCGGCTTCCTCATAAAGTCATAATCTCCCTTTTTCTTCGTAAACAAAACCTCTCATCACCTTCCTCTCATCAAATAATTTCGCTCGGATTGAAGATGCGAATGGAGTTTCATTCATCACCGCAACGAGCCCATCGACCGGAATTTTTGAAGTAACCTCCATTCCCTGTCTTCTTATTATACAAATACTTTATCTACGTATATGCTTTGGATCCCTTGATTGAATCGAGAATCAATCCACTGGAGACGTTTCAATGACCTCATTATTAGTAGTAGATTTGTTTCACGTTTTTAGATTCGATCGTCTGTATGAGCAGGGGATATCAAGAGTGTTCTTCAGTTCAACCCTAGGCATAAGAGCATTGAAAACTTGGAGTTAGAAAGACAAATATGTTTAATGTAGAACTATCCGCGCATCTCTGTTGTAAAAACAAGGTTTCTTCTCTCTTCTCCAGAAATCATATTGAATTGAAAATTTCATCAAAGCTAATTCCAGTGAAGAACAAAGTGATTGTTTTCTTAATTTGGTTTGCTTCTTCTATTTCGTTTCAGCACACCGAAGCTTTGAAGATGTGTGACGGTGGCAGGGTCATGCATTGTAGAGAAACACACAAGTTTGGAAAAGTTTTCTCTGATTACTTCTTAAGCTCCTAGAGCTGTATTTATACACCAGGATTTAACCTAGAACATGTATCTACGATATACACATAAAAGACCAAAAAGGACAACTCAATATTAACATATATTCTCATCTAATACCCCCCCTCAAGTTGGAGCATGAAGATCCAAAATGCCCAACTTGCCAAGAAAATATGAGAATTCTTTCGCACCAAGCGCCTTGGTAAATATGTCTGCAAGTTGAATCGTTGTAGACACATGCTGCGTAGTGATGACCCCACGTTGGATCTCATCGCGAATGAAATGACATTGAGCCTCAATATGCTTTGTCCGTTCATGAAAAACCGGATTAGCGGCGATATAAAGAGCAGCTTGATTATCACAAAATAACGACATTGGAGCTAAATGAGGAACTCGGAAGTCAAGTAAACAAGCCTTTATCCAAAGAAGCTCCTTAGTAATGTCAGCCATAGACCTATACTCGGCCTCGGCCGATGAAAGAGAACAAGTCCGTGCTTCTTGTCCGCCATGATATAGG